CTGCTGGAGCCTGCTGGCTGGGCTCTCAGCTGGGGAAATTCCTGCAGCAGCTCCCACAGACATGGACGTGGGCTCTCCTGGAGTGAGTCTGCACGCTCCCACTGCTGCCCTTTGCTCCTGGATCCCCGTGTCCCAGGGAGCAGGATTCCCTGCAGGAGTTTGGTTCTGAGGCCTGGCAGGGCTGGAAGCAGTTCCTGTCCCATCAGCAGCTCCAGCTGGGCAGCTTTGGGTGCTCATCCCTCTGTGCAGCTTTGGGTGCTCATCCCCTCTGTGCAGTTTTGGGTGCTCATCCCCTCTGTGCAGTTTTGGGTGCTCATCCCCTCTGTGCAGCTTTGGGTGCTCATCCCCTCTATGCAGCTTTGGGTGCTCATCCCTCTCTGCAGCTTTGGGTGCTCATCCCCTCTATGCAGCTTTGGGTGCTCATCCCTCTCTGCTTCCCCCTGCAAATGGAGACCTGCCTTGGCTCAGCACTGTTCCATTTAATTCAGCTTTAATGAGACAGTGGCATGAACACCAAACAAGTGCTTTGTTTCCTTCAGATTAACAAGACTGGTACTAATTATGTACACTTTCACTTCCTCTGTTTTCTTTATAAAAGCACTAATTAAGACATGATGCTCTTATCAGCGACAAATGGCTGCTCAGCCTGGACATCTGCAGAATTTAAGCTCCATTTGCACTTACTTCTTTCTGATTTTTATTAAAATAAATATTGACCACAATCTTTTTATCCAGGTATTAGAAATGAGCCTGTTTCGAACAAGGCATGGCCTTGTTATGACTGCAACAGCTCAGTGAATGTGTCTCAATTTGCATTTCTGCTGTTAAAATTAATTTCTCCAGCACTGACCAGAGCCTGCAGGAGGTCAGGACAGAGCCTGTTGCCTGATCCAGAGCTAAATTTCAATCCTCCTAAAATTCAGTGGATTATTTGTATTGGGTGTGCTGACCCAGATCAACTGATGTTTCAAAAAGAAAATTAGCCATTCACAACAGCCTGTAATACTGACAGGGAACCTTTTAATGTTGTGTCCCATTAAGACACAAGAAGAGCACCTTCACCTCTCAAACATAAATTAAATGGATGAGACAGGAAGTTGAAAACTCCTCCATAAAGTTGGGAAGAGCTGCTGCATTATACATTCTTTGTGAGAATGACCCCTGAGGCTTTAAAAATGCTTATTTGGGGGGGGAGGAAAAAAAAGTGAAACATCACCTTCTCATCCCCCACTTCTCTTCAGCTCTAACTGTCCCCCTGCAAAGTGCAGCTTCATTCTGTGTTTCCCCACTGAAAGCAGCTGCTCCCTAGCAAAGACCAAGTGTAAAACCTTCCCCAAAATGACCATGCCAAGGCCACTGCAGTGAGGCTGGGCCACAGGAAGATGCTGCTTGTTAGGAAAAGACAAAAACAAACTGCAGGTATGAGGTAAGGTGTGAGATATGGGTTAAAATACTGCCAAACTACGAATATCCAGAATTCTGAGGAAGAAAGGGACTAAAAGAGTGAGCTGAGACACTGACTGTGACTGAGGAGTGGGGACAACATGAGCACACGTGGACATAAACGTTCCCAAAAAAAGAGATGGACAGAGGGGGACGAGGAGAGTCAACACAGCACTAAGTTCAGGAGGCTCACAAATGTTCACTTAGAAGGAAAATCCAGAGCGGCTATTCACACTTTTCCTTCTGAGCAGCACTGAATATTTAAACGATTCACTTCTCTCTGAATATCTGAAATTCAAATGCAGCCTCTATGCTGGATCTCTAAAAATGCTCATGAATATGAGCTGATTCCATTTATTCTGGCACTAAAATTCAGCTAAATTGATAATATTAACTATGAAATAGTAGATATAAATCCAATATAATATTTTAGGCTAAAAAATTACCATTAGTGTATTGTATCCCACTAAGAATACTAGGAGAATTTAGAGAAAAGGAAAGTGCTCAAGAAATGTGGGATTTAATGAGCCCACAGAACCTTCCTAGATCTTCACAAGTTTTCTTACATAAATAGAAACAGTCAGGAAAGCATTTGCATCCCAGCTGGGGAAAAAAAAGCATTTTCTTACAGGACTGAAGATGAAAAAAAGAGGGCACAGGTTTAGTCCAACACTGGAGGGAAAATACCTCTCAACAGGTACCTTTCCTCTCCTGACTCCAAACTTTATTGTCAAATATATTTGAGTGGTGACTTGGGGCAAAACTGATATTCTGTCATATGACTCTGACTGTTCAGAATGGAATAAAAAGGCCAGTTCTCTGTATGGTTTTTCTGTTTTTCTGTATTTTCCCGTTTTCCATCACTTATCCCAGGCCCTGGCTCCATCACTGCTGCTACAAAGCACGTCCTGCCACAGTCCATGAAAATGTTGTTTCCAAAAGCAGAGTTTGCCCTCAAACCCAACCCTCCTCTGCCCTTCCCTGTGTTTCATCTCCATGGAACTGCAGTCACTGCCCTGCATTAGAGACCACTGCAATATTTTATGGCTCCATTAAAATGCTGTCCCCATCCCTTGTGCACATCAAATCCTCTAATTATAAATAATAATAGAAACCCAGGGTAGGAAGTTCCCTGCTTTCCATCTGCTTTTCATTAGGTTCCTCAGCCCAGCCAGATCCAGGGACAATTAAGCAGCACGAGGAGTTCTGTGTTTGGAAATTCCTTCGTGGCAAAGAGCTTTACTCTGCACATCCACAATGTCCTGGATGCTCCACACATCCTATTTTGATTAAAGAAATCAAAGTTGGCCTGTTGATAAGTGCAGCTCGTCAAGGCCAAATCTAAAACTTCACATTAATTCAAGATGAAATACCCTGCTAATGTCAAGCGAGGACAACAGCTCCAAGTGAGACTTTTAGGAAAGTCTCTGGTCCTTGGGGACAGCCAAACTGATGTTTTAAATACAGGAACAGAGAGAAAAGTAATTAATGTGAGTATTTAAGTGCATAAGGTGTGGACTGAAAAACACAAAATGCAGGAATATGGGAATGGCATTGCTGCATTATCCCAGCAATGCCATTCCCAGCCAGCTCTGCAGGGTGCCCTTGGCAAGATCCAGCTTCCCCTCTGGCAGCACCTCAGTCCTGCCCCATGCCACTCCCTGGGCTGTGCTGGCATATCTGGAACTGGAACTCCTTCCTGCCTTCCTCCTCTCACCCACCTCACAGAGCACTTTTCATCCAGCCAAGGAGTTCCTGGAGTCCTCCAGCACCATTCCCAAACTACAGCAACCTCCTCCCTGTCTCCTCTCCCAGCAGCTTTTGCAAGGAAAGAATTCCAACCAACCTCAGGAATTCCTGCCAACCTCACTCAAGTGCTGTCACTTCCCAAGGTGCACAGAGAATGCACCCAAGGAACGGCACCAGGAATTCTGTGTGCAGAGGAGGGGCAGGATGACAGAATCAGCAGCACCATTCCCTCCACCTCAAAGCTCGTTAGATCTCTCCTAGAGGAGCCTTTTAATGGACCCATGGAACAACCATCAGGGAAGGTCAGGGGACACCTCTGTGACTTGGCAATATCTTCCAACTTATGACTTTTCATGATACATGGACTTGTGGTGCCAGCTTTGTACCAAGCATTTCCCAGGGCCGAAGGGGGAAATCCACCCCCATGGTGTTGTTAAAGCCAAACAGAATCTCTTCATCCATTCTGCTCCATTATCTCCCCCTAAAGCAGACCCTGCTCCCCAGCAGCTCAGCACACTGAATTGCCTGAGTCACGTTTAACAATAAACATTTGCCTGTGTTTAGGCTGCAAGTTGCCTTTCCTGTTTTAGCTGATGGAGCAGTGCCTGGGCACAGGCAGGCCCTGGATCCAGGGAATGCCCATCTCTGTGCTCTGATTCCAGATGCACATCGCCAGGAATGCCAGAGGCTGGCAGTGCCAATGGCTGAGGACACCCCTGCTCCAGCTGGACCTGAACTGAGACCCAGCTCTCCAAAGGACACAGATCACTGTGCAGACACTCACAGCTTGGGTATCCATGACGTTCCACCAAACCCCAGAGCTCTGAGCTGATAAAATGCTGTTATTTTCCTTGGCAAATGTCAAGCTTTTGAATTGCATCTATTTGTTTAGAAGTATCAAGTGAGCAATCTGCCAAGATAAGGAACATCATTAAAATAGAGAAGAGGAATGAGAACACCAGTTCAACACCAACTCCACTTCCCAGCTGCTTAACATTTTAAGAAAAGACAGCACATTGAAACTTCTCGATACTAAAGATATACAGAAATATCTTTACCTATATGAATATAGAGATATTTTTTAAAAAAATCAGCTTCCCCACCAGTAAATTTTACAGAGCTCTCAGTTATGCCAGCACATCTAATGCCAATCACTTCCAGAACACACTGAAAGGATGGGAAGGTTGACAGCAGAGTCAGATTCAAAATCCCATTCTCTATATATTATTCCTTCTTTCAGCAGAACTTTGGATTAATTTGCCTGTTTTTCCTACAATACAGAACTGTCCAGAAGGCAGGAGGAAGCAGATGGAGACACGTACCCAGAGCACAAGCAACCAGCACTCAAATTCTGTTATATCTAACTTCCTCCATTTATCCTCAAGCAGAAAGAACCTTCCAGTACCAAAGTGATCTATTCCATCTGATCAGCACAAACACTGCTGCTCATCTATGTTCTGTAGAAAACATCCTGACATGCAACACTCCCTTGACCATCCAGAACTGGGATGTTTCATGGAATCTCTCACTACAGACTGCTCAAAGTATCTTGAAATTCGGACAGGTTTAAATCCTTCAAGTCAGGCAGAAGGTGACACTGACACAAGTCTGTAGAGCAGGTGAAAGACATTCAACAGTGGGAGCTCCCCAGAGAGGGGCAACGTGTGGGTGATCGACACACAGAGGGGCATGAGGATGTGCAGGGGATGATCAACACTCATGACACGTGTGAAGGAGGTATTAAACACAGAACACACAAAGAGAACTCCAGTCCAGTTCACTGCATCAAGAAAAGCTGATTTACACACCTGGTTTTGGTACCGAATTGGTCACGGACTGAGGGACTTTGTCGTTGATGAGTTCTACACATTCACTGGGAAAGAATCCAACCTGGAGTAAAACAGAAAGAGGAAATGGAGTGTTATGATCTGAAGTGTTCAACCAAGATCTCCCCTCAACTCCCCCTGCATGATGCTCCCTGACATTACCCATCAAATGACCAGCAGTCATTGACAACTGCAGGTTCTGCTCTGCTGCCAGCACCCTGAGAGAGAACAATCTGAGAGCCCCAGGCACTGCAAGGTCCTGAAGTGATCAACTTTGAATGCTAATTTGCAGTGTCCCTGCACTGACCTTCAACTCAGCATTTCTCCCTGCAGCCCCTCAAAGGCAGAAAGGCTGGAGAGCCCCTCTAAACCAGCCTAAGGGTTAAAGGCTGTGGGAAGGATCCTAATGTGTTCTTGGAGTAGGATGTGCCTGCAGGCATTCCCATGCCACTCAAAGAGGAGCTGCTGTATCTGTGGAGAAGTGAAATTATTTCCCTTTCCCTGTTTGAAGATTCAGGCTAAGCTGTGAGCAGAGAGGAATTTGGCACTTCCCTGCATCCCCACCTTCTCTCTTATTTCCCAGCATCTTTCTTCTTACTCTCATCCCAGGTGAAAATCAGACCAGAGCAGACCTTTGGTAACTTTAATCCATGGTGCATCTCTGCCCACCTTTTCTCTGTGTTGCTCACCCAGCACAGCTCCTGTATTGTGAGATGGAGCTCAGGCACCAGCACCTCCCAGACTCTCACCTGAGGCAGGGCAGATTTCCTGTCCCATTGCCTGTGACTGGACAGCTGGAAGCACCAAGTCTGCTCAAACCCACAGGAACACGAGGGAAAGGGCCAGAGGATGGCCCCAAGCTCATCTGAGCAGAACTGAGCCAGAACTGTGCCAGTCATGTTGGCACATCCATGAAATCCTCTGGAGGCAGAGGGGCAGTCAGCACCAAGCCTGGCAGACACTCCCTCCTCTATTCATTCATCTTACACAATTCCCTTTTGTCTCCATGGAGAAAGATTGATCTCCTTCCTACTCCAAGTTAATTTTCACCCACCAGCTTCCCACCATTTTGGTGGCAGTGTCACACGTGGGGTGTCCAGACTTAAGTTATTCCAAATTCCCCAAAGGAAGCAACAGTTAACAGAGCCCACACCTTCCTCTTCCCACATCCCAACATCCAACAGGGCAATGCTCTGCCCAAGCACAAGGACAAGCTGTCACCCATCACACAATGCCACAGGAAAATAGGATTGTTGTCAGGACTCTGAGCTCAGGACAGAGCCTGCTGGAGCAGCACTCTGGGCCAGCAGCACTCAGGCTCTGAGCTGGGCTTCCCTGTAACTGGGACTGGCCTGGGCATCGCAGGAGACTCACAGAACCCACCCAAAATCCAACACCAGGCATGGCTGCACCTGCCACGGCCTCAGGTCTGCAAGGACATGGTATCCTGGAGTTATGGAAAACAGTGGAGATTTTTGTGCAGTTTATAGACAGAAATGTGCCCATTAAAACAAGAAAATGAGCATGAACAGCAGCATCACATAGAGAGGCCCCTCCTCTGGCAGCTCATGGCTCAGGGACCTGCTCTGCTGGGAGATGCCAAGGAACAGGCTGAGTGGCATGGACACTGAAGTGCTGGTGTTTAAACAAAATACACTTCATGGTTTTACACCATGAACTACCAGGATGGGCTGGCTTGGAAGGGACCTTAGGGATCATCCAGTCCCTTGCCAAGGGCAGGGACACCTTCCACTCTCCCAGGTTACTCCAAGCCCCAATGTCCCACCCAATGTTCCAGGGATCCAGAGGCAGCCACAGCTTCTCTGGGCAGTCTGTGCCAGGACCTTGCCACTCTCACAGGGAGGAATTTCCTCCTTATATCCAACCTAAAATTCCCTTTTTTCATTTTGAACCATTCCCCCATGTCCAGTCACATCAGTTCCTGATGCAAAGTCCCTCTCCACCTTCCTTGTGGCCTGTCCAGGTCCAGACACTGGAAGGTGCTCTGAGGTCTCCATACAACCTTCTCTTCTCTTCCCCAGGCTGAACTTTAACACTTCACTATGTCTGACAGTCTCTGCTGGACATTTCCCATGTGACAGATACAGGAGGCAATTTTAAATTTAGGAAAAATGCACAGATCCAGGGAAAGTCTCAGCCCACCACACAGATATCATCTGGGAAACTCCACAGCTGGAGTGATGAAGTTTCTTCCACTTTCAGTAACTGCCCACATTGTCTGTGTAAAAAAAAAAAGGAAGTCCTGGGACCCCAACCTTCTATTGTTCCTCTAAATCTGGATCTAAACCCAAGCCCAGACCCCACACTGTTGAACATTTAATCAAATGCTGGACATGAAATCAAAACTCATTTGCCTTTGACTGTTAACACAGTATTCCTCCCGTTTGCGGATGCACTGTACAACACAAACCAGGAATTCAGAAATTAAAGACCCTGGATGGTGATGTCACTACTTCCAGATATCCCAGAACCTTCCCAAATCAAACATTCTACCTGCTCTCCATGTATCACTTTTGCCATGTTCACACCAATAATTACAATGGATTTTTAAGGGGCAAAGAACTGTGCTGGCTCTGTCATGTTAACTCACTGCTAGAATTTATTTACATTTTCAGACTTACTTATTCTAACTTCTTGCACGATCCCCAAGAGATCCTCGTCAGGGTTATAATCCACAACTTGTGCCTCATTCCCACCCACTTAAAAGATGCTACTTCTCCTCCTATGGGAAGTTTTCCATGATTTTGTATAAATAAATGAGTTTAGTCCAAGAGTTAATCTCAACAGATGTAGCAAGGCACTATTAGAGCTTGAGCCAGGATTAAAGGATTTGGCAACGTAGGAAAATTAATAGCCAGGGTAGTATATATTTAGATAAATGCAAGGTCATCTAAAGGTTAAATATATCACTACAGACCTTCAGCAGAGGAGGAAGGTACATGCTGGTGCCTGAGAACTGTTCTGCAACACCTACTACAGCTTTATCTTTTCACTTCTGTGACAGGGGCTGCTGGAACTGGAGGATACAAGAGGCTTTAAAGGGAAAAGTCAGAGTAACAATGGTAATTTTCAGTATGGGGAGCAAATTCAAACAAATGAGGAAGTACATGCAACTTAAATGGCAAATGAAACATTGAGACATTTGGATTGCTTTTTTTGGGTTTGACATAATCTACAGTGTGGATTCAATTTTAGCCAAAAAGTTTTCTCTTTTCCTTTTAAATCTGATGACAGTCTAGCAAAACCTGACAGGGAAACTGCAACTTTTAATGGCCTATTTGGCCTTCCTGAGGAGAATTTTCACTGAGTCTTTGCCAAGTGCCTACACAGAGTGCAGGACACCCTCACCTCGTTCCCAAAGGAGCCCCTGCTGAGATGCCCTTTCACTTTAGGGCACTACTAACAGGAGGAACAGGATTATTACTCCTCTTATCCTGAGCTCCTGTTAAAGGGAGTTGAACACCTGGGCCATAAAAATATTGTGACTTCTTTTTTTCACAAAAAAATGTCTGTATGGGATGACACTTGTTGATTATCCATTCCTGACTGGTGTGGAGCAGCACTTTAGGAAACCAGAGAGCTGGAGAGGGACTTTGGACAAGGGACGGAGTGACAGGACACAGGGAATGGTTTCCCACTGCCAGAGGGCAGGGATGGATGGGATTTAGATTGGATACTGGGAATAACTTCTTCCCTGAGAGGGTGGGCAGGCCCTGGCACAGGGTGCCCAGAGAAGCTGTGGCTCCCCCTGGATCCCTGGGAATGTCCAAGGCCAGGCTGGATGGGGCTTGGACAGCGGAAGGTGTCCCTGCCCATGGGAGGGGTGGGACTGGATGATCCCTAAGGTTCCCTCCCAATCCAAACCCTCCTGGCCTTCTGTGGAACTGGGACCTGCAGTCTCACAATCAGCTGAAGCTGCTGCAATCACAGTGTGATTAAAATCAGCCCTGTCCCCCCTGGCTGCACACCCTGGTTTTGTCACCTCTCCAGCAGTGCAGGTGGTAGGGCAGCTCTGCACCTCGGGAAACTATTCCCAAAAACCAGAATAATTCAGGACAACCAAAGGCAGTCATGCATCAAACAAGGGCCTGTCCCCAATGACTCAGCTCCCTGACACAGAGCTGATTGAAAAGACAAAGAGAGCTGAAGGCTGTTAATGTGGAGGTGGCTGTAATTTAGGTAACAATCTTACAGAGAAAGCACTGACTCACACTGAGGGCATTGGAAGAGAAAAAATCATTTTACTTCAAGCAGAGCAAATGCTCAGAAGCCTCGTGGGCTGTTTTGTTCACACAGGATTAGGTGTGTTGCAATGCAGTCGTGAGCTCAGGTATGCAGAGAGCACAGGCACTGTGCCAGGGAAGTGTGATGGATCCACAACCAGTGAGTCATCCCTGGAGGGCAGCTCTGGCTGCCAGGAACACTCTGACTTCCACGCTGAATCCAAGTGCAGGTGCTTGCAGCCTGTCAGAGCCAGTTTTTGGCTCACATCTGCAGAGCTGCCTCCAGTTCCTCACCACAGCCCTCCCACTATCCCAAGGGATGCAGGACAGGCAGCAAGGAAGGCACTTCTGCCTGGGCACACACAACTCACAACTGCTTCAAATGCACAAAGAAAGGGGAGTTCCTTTAAGTCAAGAAGTAATTTTTTCCCCTTTCAGCAAAACAAGAAGGTTTTTTCCCTCTTCTTGCTTTCCTCCTATCAAGACATGGTTTCTAATGGAAGCTGTGCTTGGTTGATAAAACCCTGCTCCCCCTTAACATGAAGCAAAAACCCAAGAAATAACAGGACAAGCTGCCCAAACATTTGGTGGCAGGACCTCCTCCTTTTATCTGCTCTCAGAAATCACAACTATCTGGCTCTGTTTATTTATTTTATTAATTCAAATGACTGGATCAACAGATTGCTATCATTGCAAAGTTCCTAAACAGGAACAGAACTATTTGCCTCTAACAAATGCTTTAGAGGCTGCACAGCTTCATCTGTGCCTACACTATTGCTGTAACAACATTCTTCACCTACACACTCTTTTTGAGCATCCATCAAGGACACTTTTGCCTGTAACTCATCTCTAGGTCTGATGTAGCAACAGGGATAAATTCTGTGAATTCTTACTGCTTGTATTATCTAAAAACTTCATTCCATCAGGAAATGTACATTTTCTGTACATTCAGAGCTCATGAGCCTTAAACTCGACACACAGGTTAAGACTTTGAGCAAACCCAGCTCCTGGAGCTGTAGGAACACAGAGCTACATCTCCATGGTGTGTTTGGCTGTCACCTGCTCACACTGTGACCACTCCTGCTCGTCATTAAAGACACAAGATTATTCCACCCCTAATTTTCTGTTAAGACAGAATATGGTGCTGTATTTCTGCAGCTGCTCCTATCTGTTGTGTCAGGAGCCTGACTGTGCAGGGACACAGAAAACCCCCTTTTCTGGCAGTTTGTTCATCACCATGTTTTTGTGCTGGGAAAACACAACAGGATCGCTGTGATCTGAGAGGCACAAAGCTGTGACAAACTGCAGAAGGGCTGCCTTGCTTCTGTGTCTTTCATCAGCAGTGCTGTTCTCCAGACCTGGCCCCAGTGTCAGGCAGCCTGAATAATGGGATCTACATCCCACACAGGGCTTCCAAACCCTGTGCAAAGTGCCTACACTCAGGCACAGACCACAGAGTAGCTTTGTTTTGCTTTATTGATTCACTTGGAAGTTAATCATGGCATAGGCTGATCATTCCAAGCAGTATTACAGCATTTAATCCACTGAGGGTTGGAAATGAAGTCTGAGGTGCCTTTCACCCCAAGCCATTCTCTGATTCTATGACAGTACAGCATATTCAGCTTTAAGGTTTCTAAGATTATAACACAAGTCCAGCAAAGGTACTGCACAGTTCAGAAGCAGAAGTTTGTTCAAGTAGTACCAGTGTGTTGACTCTAGAAACAAATTAAACTTCAGAGCAGGTAGTCTATGTCCACGCTACTCTGACTTTGCAAATGAGATGTCACCTGAACTCCCACACCTGACACAAAACCAACACAAGCTGTGTCTCACATGCCCTGGCTGAGCAGACAGCACTAGGATGGTGCACTGCATCCAGCTTGGATTGGGAGATCCAGCCACTGGGCACTGACAGCAGCAGGGCCACAGCCTGGTCTGGCACAGAAAGAGCTGTCAGGGAAAACCTGAGGAGCCTTGAGAAGACTTTCCATGCCAAATTGCACAAGTGTCTGATCAATCCTGGGCCTCTGCAGAGCAAACTCCTCATCCCACCCACTCACAGACAGCAGCTGCAGATGGAAATCCCTGTGGCTGAAAGCAGCTGAAATGTGAGACAACACAAGTCAGCCCCCCAACCCGCAGTGGCTCTGGGGTTTGCTTGGTTAAAAGAGACTTTTAAAGCTTTTACATTTCCTAACGGCAAAATCCAAAGGATTAAAAACTCCTTGGAAGAACTGCCATTTCAACACAGAAAGTTTGGTACCTAATCCCCAGGCATGCTGAGGACCTTTTGAAATTTCAGTCTCCATCTCTGTGCTGTGATGTTTACAGGGACCAGCAACACTGACACCACACAGTGAACACAGGCATGGATGGGTGGCTTGTCTAAGTCAGCAGCACTGTTTCCTCAGCTGGAATTCTCCAAATCCTCTATGTTCTGCCTGAGCTGGTTTTAGCTACTGGAAGGAAGGGGATGATGTGAGTAACAGTGTCAGCTGCCTTGGAGGGGGAGCAGCACAAGCTTCCACTGCCATCAGGCCAGCTGTCCATCACAGGCCACAGCCAGCCCTCCTTCCTGTGGTGAGGGAGGAAGGAAACTTCCAGTGGAGACCCTGTGTCTGCTCCAGCCCCAGCCCAGAGAGAAGGGGAGTCCCCTGACACCAAGGCAGGGACACCCTGCTTGTCCCCTGAGCCACCCTGAGCAGGCACAGCAGCTCCAGGAGCACAGCCCTGAGGCTCCTGCTTTTGTTCCAGCCCCACTGCCACGGCTGGGCTGGCGCCTACCTGGAACCCGTGTTTTCCTCTCCACCACGAGGTCAGCTCCTTTGGTGGCATGTCGATGACAGACACGATGTCCCCCACCTGCAAAAGGTTGACAGCATCAGTCACAGCCAGGAGGAGAGCACAGTTCCAATAACCACAGTCTCAGCACTGCAAAAAACTGCACAGCTCTGGAGCAGCTGCACATCTGCCTTTGCAAAACCGAGCTGTGGGGTGGAGGAGTTCCTGCATTGCCCAGCACACAGGATACAGCTGTTCCTGAGGAAAGGGCCTGAAGAGCAGCAGGCTCCTGGGAAGGGCTACAGAGGGTTCTGGTTCAACTGCAGTGATGTGTCAGCACTTGGGAAAATCTGCTCTAGTAGCTGAACTGATTTTTACTGCCCTACCCACGAGTCTGTAGGCACTGACATGTGTCTCCTTGCTCCCTCTCACAGCACAGTGAAGAGCTGCCTTTGCAACTCCTAAACTGCCTCAGGTGAGCTGCACAGGGTTAGGAAGTGAGCAGAGGAGAAGTGGTGCTACAGCAACAGGATGGAAAATGCCAAGGACACCAGACAGGCTTTCTGAAGCTTTGCTCATTCCCATAAAAATGTAGTACTGCAATAGTTCAAAAGGAGATCAGTATCATCAATACTAAATTTGGTTTGATTTGAATCAAGCTTTGTGTGGCCTCTGTTACACAAAATGAGAAGGGGCAGAACCTAAATAAATACTGCAGGTATTCCAGGTAGGTGGGCAAAAAATTCACGCCAATAATGCCCAACTTTCACCAGATATTTGACAATGATGGATTCAAAGTGTTTTACAGAAAAGACAACACATTGCCCATTTGCAGATGGGGATGACTGAGACATGGGGAAATTATTTCCTCCAGGGAATAGTGAATCAAGAGGAAAGGAAATGCTCATGAAGGAAACTGCTGCCACCACAGGAGCAGAGACACTGAGGATGTTTCTCAGAACTGGGGAGCAAACCCCAGACAGCTGCTTGTGCAACTGCCTACTAGAAATTTAGAATAATAAACACAGAGATAATTTGGGTTAGGGAACAGGACTCAGCATCATAACCCCCTGACCCTGTTCTGTGTCAGTTCTGCTGTGGTGTCTCACTGCACACCGCTGGAAACCACACGTGCCTCAGTTTCCCTTCTGCACAGCGCAAGATTTACAAGCAGGGAGTGTCATTTCAGTGCTCTCATAAGCTGACAACCAGCCTGGATCCTGTGCTGCTTGGATTCCAGCTCAGAGCTGCCATGCCCACGTGTCCCTCTGATCACACAGTGCTTTGGGGTATACCAATCCTTGCCTTGACTTGAACATGAACAAAGCCCTGGCAGCACCAGACTATCACTGTTATTTTTTCTTCCTGTGCTGCACACCAAGGATGTGATCACAAAGCTCCTCAGGGCACTGTTCTCCTTCACACGTTTTGTAGAAACAGCACCATTGCACAGGGCAACCAGAGCACAGACCACTGCTTTTTGGGTAAAACAGACAACTGCCAGACAACCAAAAACTTCCAGGGTCTGATCTGGAGATCTTGGATGGGATGTGGAGCAACCTGGGCTACTGGAAGGGGTCCCTGCCCATGGCAAGGCGTGGAATGGGATCAGTTTTAAGGTCCCTCCCAAGTCAAACCATCCTGAGATTCAGAGATTCACACCACAGCAGCTCCTGCACTGGATTTTCAGGCCAGTTTTAGCTCATCACCTGCCCTTTAAACAGCAACTATTTGCCAGTCTTGTTCTTTACTTCTCATGGAAGCAGAAGCTCCTAAAAATGGTTATGGATAGGGACTTGCTTAAAGGGTGTGTGTAACCTGGGCCAGGAGAAATAAAACTTGTGTCCACACACACAGGGACAGTCACCCTGAACAGAAAACACATGGGCTCTGTTCAGGGACAGCCCAGAGGAGCTGGGAGGAGCTGGTTAATCAGAAGATACTAATGCCAAGTAAAGCTGTATTTTAAAGATGACTGAACATCTGCCCGTATCCAACTCACTGCAGAGCGAATATTTAACTCCATCTTCCAAGCTTCACCTCACAAAACATTGTGGAAGTGTCTGGACATATTCCTAATGGGCACACAGGCCCAGACACCCAGATTACACTCATTTGGAGCTGACAACAAAGAATGCAAGTGCTTTATTTACCTCAAAGGACAGTTCATCTGCTGCTTGAGCAATGTATCTCTTAATGACATGGGCAGCAGCAATAGCAGGGACATTAATGGATGATTCCTCATGGACCAGCAGGTGATTCCCCTTGTTATCAATCTGAAACAAAGAGCACAGGGGACTGTGAGGCAGCTGAGGACAAGTGAGGAGGCATTTTAGTGGTGCAAAGGCTTCAAGCTGATTGAGAGAGACAGCCCAGCCCTGGGCCCCAGGAGAGAGGGCACAGCAGAGCCGGAGCGCTCACTGGGGGCTCCAGGAGGTCGGGTGTGCCTGTCCAGAGGAGAGAAACGCTGGCTTGGTGCAGCTTGGTGTACAAACAGTGACACAGAGAGGGTCTGCACCTCCCTTTAGCCCCACATCATGGTGGTTTTCCATGGCAATACAGATGTGCTACAAAAATCCTCTATGAGGTGGAATTAATGCTTGAGGTACTGAGGCAAGGAGAAAATGCTGTAAACCCAAAACCTAGTGCTGCTTTCCATTTTCTCCCATCCTTTAATTATTTTTTTTAAAGAAAACATGTACCCCCCCTTTGCAATCATCAGCACACTTTCAAAACTCCCAGCTTTCTGTGTAAAATTGTGTAGGATTTTCAGTGAGTCACAAAGGTTACTTGCACTGGGTTTGCTGTGATCTCCAGGCCTACTGTGTTGCTCTGAATGCTACATCTCATTTCTCCCTACAGCTTCCTCCCTCCCTTTGCTGCTTTCCAAGATTTTTCTCATCCCAAAGGATTTCAGGGTGAGAAGGATATCAGTAGGGGAAATTGCAGGAAAACACACTCAATCCTTATCAGATCCATTTAAAAAGGAGCTGCAAGTCTATTAATAGCTGTTTCTATTCCTGGTGTGCAGCGATGGAAAGCCACACGTTCAGGCAGCCTGAGCAGGGACAGCTGGACACTCCTCCAGCCTCCCCTGCCCTCATCCTCACTAAGAGCTATTGTTTAAAGGCTACAAGACCATTAAACCTGAAAGCAGAGCTGCAGCTGCAGTTCACAACACACAAACTGTGCCACTGCAAGCACAAGGCTGCCTCTGTCTGCAGGGGAGCCAACAGGAGCACAGAGTATTTGCTGGGCTTGGAGCTGCCACAGGGAAAAATGATTTAAAAAAACAAGAGAGCAGGGAAACACCATAACAGAGACAGCTGAGTTTTAGAAATGTGCCACGGTTGCAGCATCGCCTTGGCAAAAAGGAGAGCAGGAATAAGTGAGCTTTGAAGTAAGTGAGCCTTCTGTAACCCATCACTAGGAGATCCAGCCCTGAACCTGGCATTCCCAGGCAGCTCCCTGGGACTGCCACCTCCTCTGTGAATATCAGCAGGACAATCCATTTCTGAGAGACAAAACCCAGGTTACAAGGGAAAAAACTCTATACTCTTAATACTGATTCTGTGTGTCCTACATCTTCTATGTGCTGGTAACAGGAGAATAAAGCTTTCAGAATAGAATTTCAGTGACACCAACAGATCTGGAAAGAGCAGGTGTGTGCCTGCTGTGTTTCCAAGGTCAGGAAACAAGGAACACCCCAGGTTTGTGCTGTACCTCCATCCATGTGAGGGCAGGGCCACAGTTGATCTTGTTGCCTGCGATGTTGGAGAGCCGAGCCAGGTAAGCCATCAGCATCTGGGTGACCAGCTGAGACACAAACACACACAGTGGTTCTGTTAGTGCACCTGCCTTTGGAGAGCCTTCTGCAGGCTTAGGGAAGACCAGAAATCACCCACTGCCACAGGCAAGAGTTACAGAGATTCATTCCCTTCTGCAAATAAATGCATTTCTGTCGTTCAAAGGACACCAAGCCACACACAGGGTTATGATGGTTACACCAAAAGAAAGGGTCAAGAAGCAGCTCTCTGTGAAAGTAATGATGTTATTATTATCATTCTGTAAGATTCATGCAGATTTTCCTAACTTCCCTTGTCAAGATACCTTAAATCTAAAGCTTTGCCCTGATTGCGGACACACACACAAACAACTCGTGTCTTAGGGAGACACCAGAGAACCACCTAGGAACCAGGCAGTGAACAATCCCCGAGTGCCACTTCCACATGCCTGCAGAGCCTCAAGAATGCAGCACCTCACAGTGACCCCCTGGCCAAAGAGTAACATTTCAACCAGTAGAAGAGGGGTTTAAAAACACACTTTGCCATGGCCCTTTGTAACAGTGAACTGGTTTTTATTACAGAGAAGCCACTGAGGTCTTTCTGAGTCTCCCAGTGACAGTGGTATAAAGCAGCATTGTAGCCCAGAATCTGTAGGACTGTTCAAAACATTGTTCTCCTCAAACATCTGTTCCAACGTGGCCAATTCAAAATAAAAACTATATGATGAGACACCCCACAGCTGCAGAGCAGCAGAGCTGTTCAGCATCTTCACATCCTCTGTGCTTGCAGACAGAATGCAGATTTTCAGGCTCTTGCTTTGAAGTCCAGTTAAATCAGTGGTACAAGTAAGGATGCAAGAGATAGGAATGCCTAAAATATAATTGAAAATAAACCAGGAATTCATTGTCCTGCATATTGCTGCTTCTGCTGAATTTAAACTTGAAACCCTCCTCAGAAGTACCGTGCATGAAGCCAAAGCAAGTGTTAAATCAGTCTCTCTGCTGAGTGATGGGGGCTGCATGATCAGTTCCTTAAATTCCATGGCAAACACCCTGTAAAATTCCAAGGGGTACTAATTTCAGTGTCCCCATCCTCCAAAACGATGCAGCCAAGATTCACCTGCTTCTTTCCAAGGGATTTTTCTGGACATGAATAAATCTTTCAATTATCAGCAGTGAGAAGCTGAGGTAATTTCAGCTCATCATACTCAGGGTGAAGACAGTAAGCCAAGAAATGAGTATCCCTTAGAGGAAAAAAAAAAACCTCATCGAGGAAAAAGAGCTTTTTAAAGACCATTTAAATAACACACTAATGCAAATGCTCTTAAAAACACTCCAGGAATACTCAGTTTAAAATGGAAGCCTAGCACTCCAAATGGGATTGCTCTTGCAGTGCAGCAGCCTCAGACAGCACGATTCCCTGGGAATGCTGAGTTGTTAACAGAAAGCCAGGAAATACCTACATCACTGACAAAGTTTCCAAAGACAAAACCAAATTCACATCTAAGGGACCACAGGACAGCTGCTTTCTTGACACTCAATTACCATTCCAGATTCAGCAGCTTAATTAATTTGTCTGAACTTGCAGGACATTTCCCTTTAGATCACTGAAATTAGGGGTGGAAAACACTGACTTTATTCGTGGTAGCCAATTTTCAAATGTAACCCAGGCTGCATTAAAACTACTCTCTACTACAAGTAAGTATACTCATTACTAGTATATTACTAGAAGTATACTCATTACTAGTAGTAAGTATACTTGTTATTATAACTCTGTGTCCTAGAAATACATGGAATTGCTGAGGCTGGAAAAGATCTCTAAGTCCACCACTAACCATGTTCCCAGGTGCCACATCTACACACTTCTGAACAGTGCCAGGGATGGTGGCTCCACCACTGCCCTGGGCAGCCCCTTCCAGTGCTTGGCAGCCCTTTCCATGATGGAATTGTCCCTGATATCCAAGAAAGCTCCCCTGGAGGTCACGTCTTGCACAAATCCCATGCCTGAGCGTGCCCTGGGTGTCCCAGAGGGGCCCCTTACCTCGGGGCTGTCCTTCAGGGCATCGGAGCGGGGCAGCTCTGCCAGCTGCGAGAAGCGGCGGTCGTAGATGCACAGGTGGAGGTGTTTGTCCAGCACGCGGAAATCCTCATAGCTCCTCTTCACGATCCAGCTCCTGCCCTGCACACACAAACAGCCACTGTCAGAGCTCCTCAGCACAGAAGGGCAGGAAAGGGAAATGTGAGCACAAATAACACCTTCTCCTTGAAACATCCCAAAGCGATCAAAGTGCCCGAGCAACGTTTTCATGTTTTAATTTGCAGGTAACATTTTCATGGTTTAATTTGCAGGTAACATTTTCATGTTTTAATTTGCAGGTAACATTTTCATGGTTTAATCTGCAGGTAACATTTTCATGTTTTAATTTGCAGCAGCCATTCATGCTCAAATCAGCCATTAGTGGTCCTGTTTTAATTATTTAACCATGGGTTTGGATGTGGCCCAGCAGCATGAGAGCTTTAACTTCCACCTGTCTTACAAGGATTTTGTAGCATTTTCCTACGTGAGGTGTCCTTGCACAAATGTAAATCACCAAGTGGTTGTATAACCGGCGTGAAATTAGATTCCAAACAGATAGAAGCATATAAACGCAGAGATCTGAAGGCAGGATTGAAGCTTGCAAAAGTTCTGCCAGGTGCCTCAGGCAAAGCTTCAGCTGAATTAAGAAAACAATCCATGATGAACAATTCTAGCTGCAGATTTATTCCTGAGTGCATATCATTTTCCCAATTAAAATATAGACAAGATACAGACTGCTCCAGGGGACAAGGAAGGAACTGTGGCAGCACAGAACAGTTTGCTTTGTAAAGCTTTTAATATCTAATGATGACTTTTAAGTGCCCCACGGCCTATTATGATCAATAAAAAATGTTGTAATAATGCAGCAGTTTACAGGTCAAAGCACTTTATGAAGAGTCATTAATCACAGAATTCCACAGTGGTTTGGGATAGAAGGAAACTTAAAGCCCATCCAGTCCCAGCCCTGCCATGGGCACAGACACCTTCCCCTGTCCCAGTTTGCTCCAAGCCCCATCCAAGCTGGCCTTGGACACTGCCAGGGATGTGGAAGGAATCAAGGGATCAGATTGCTCTGGTTTACACAGGCATTCAGAGGCAGTGCCAGGGACTGGAAGTGACACAGGGATGCCAGAAAGTGAAGCAGAAAGCAGGGAGTAAGGGGGACACAACAGGGGACAGAGCTGTAAATGCTGACCTGCTGTGTCCAGCTGGCAGGGCTCTGCCAGGTGCCCTCTCCCCTGAGACACAAAAGCATGGCCTACTCTGAACTCCCAGTCATGATTCCTCTACGCTGATTTCTTTATCAGAGAAGTTCTAAGCATCAGTTTTGCATTAATATCCAAAGCCTGCGAGGCAATTGCAGACATAAACCCTCCAATCCAGCTACATTCTGTCCCAGTGATTTAAGACAACTCCACACTGTGACTGTGTCCATAGACTCTTCTTTCAGTCTATGAGGAATTGCCGTATTTCACAATCCTACAAAGAGGCACCTACACAGGATAAATGATTTGGGATTTCCATATTATGTAATTTCACTTTTTGTCTATAGGAGAAAAACAAAACCAGGAGTGCAAGGCTAATTCTGTTCATGGAGCTGTCAGCCTTCCCCATTTCTCCATCTTTTGCAATTAAGGGATTCTTCCCCTCTCGCTGAGCTGCCAGTGTGACCTTCAAGGTTCAGTCACCAACGTAGGGAACAGCAGCCTGAGAAATCCCTGTGATCCTGGATCTGCCTCTGCCACCAAACCAGGCATTTCATTCCTACATGACCACCCAAACAACAAAATGATCTGTGAAACGATCCTGAAGCTGTCACTGATTCCATTTGATTTCATTCCAAAGGCTGGCCTGTAGCTTTGCAGCCTGGTTGCCATGAATGAGCACAGTAAGAGTTAAAAGCAGCCGGCAGGCAGAGCTGGGTCAGCCCCTGCTGTGCCAGGGTGTGCAGGATCACACACCATCCCGGTCCCAGGGCTGACAGCAGCAGGAAAAGGTGATGGATGAGCAGGGACAGCTTACCCCACAGCAGCAGCAGTGTCTCTGGCCCCACGGGAGGCTCCTGGAACAAGGGCAGGCAGCAGAGCCGGAGCGCGGGCAGGGAACCGGGATCCTCGGCTCCTGCACCTCCAAACTGCAGCTCACAGCTGCTAAGCAACCAGCAGAGCTCTCCCGGAGCTCTGCCATCCCTGAGCCATTCCTGAGCTGTCCCTGAGCTGTCCCTGCCAGCAGCCCAGGCTCCAGGAGAGAGATGCTGTAGGTGCCTGGAGGCCAGAACCTCATCACCATTCCCAGGTCACTCAGCCTAGGATTGTGGATATCAGGCTCTTGTGCAAAAGGATCATAGTTTACTTCATGGAATCATGGAATATCCTAAGTTGGACCCACAAGGATCATCATTCCACATCCTGTCCCTGCACAGATCCCCCAGTAATTCTACCCTGTCCATCCCTGGCAGTGCTGTACAAATTCTTCTGGACCTCTGGCAGCCTCAGGGCTGTGCCCATTCCCTGGGGAGCCTGGGCAGTACCCCCTCTGGGGAAAGAACCTTTCCCTAAATCCAACTTAAACTCCCCTGGCACAGCTCCAGCTGCTCCTCAGGTCCTGTCACTTCTCTCAAAAGAGCTCAGCATCTGCCCCTCCACTTTCTGGGAACAGGGTTGCCAATTCCTGTCAGAATTCCACTCAGAGTGGCGGTGCACAGGCTGTGCTGGCACAGCGCAGCACTTCAGGAGCAGTAACACACATTACCACCCAGCAGAATGTTATTCCAACACCCTAAATGGGAGTATTTACCAATATTCTACAATTTTAATCCCGGCATAATTTATCTCAAAAAGCTCCCATACTTCAGGTTGGACTTCAAGTTGTATTAAGCCAAGTTTTTGCAGATTTGGAGCCTGAGTGATGAATTTTTAAGCCACATTTACATAGGATGCAATTAACTTTACAGGAAGGAATCACTGCAGCAATCGAGGAAGGAGCTGGACAGTACTTAATGCTTCCCCTTAGATCTCCAGCACAAATCACAGGAAAGCAAAGTCTGGATTCTCCCAGCCAGACTCCCAGAGAGCCACAGCCAAAGCAGCAGCAACAGCACCAGCCTCATCCCGGATCCGAAGTACTACAAAGGTTTCAAATATAATTGGAAACCATATAATGTAATTTACCAATATAAAAATTGTACATCTTGCTCCCCTCTCCTGAAAATTCTCAAGCACCAGAAAGGTTTGGCAAAAGGATTATTTTTTTTTTTTTAATTTAGAGAGTTAATAAAATATTAGATACAAGTAAGTGCCTGTTAAGTTGATCTTGTGTTGTCAACTGTGTTTTATAGCAAAGCTCAACATTTCTGGGGCTTCAGGCACTCAACATCCATATGGCAAAAATGTCTTCGTCGTGTCTTTAATGATTTCCATAAACTGTTGCTCAAATGAATTTTTGATCAGCCTCTAATTTTCTAATTCAATAATTACTTTTCATTTCTTTAATTATTAATGGTCCTGATTTACAGAAGCACAAACTTAAATCCCATTCATTCCAGTGGGACATGAGAGGTGAAGTTAAGCACAAAGCGATTTCCCAGATTCAGACCTTCAACTACAAACCTGGCTGTGACTAAGTTCTTTAAAATAAAAAATCAAATATCAAGTGAAGATTTCAATAATGCCATTAAATACTTCCAGGATCTTTAAAAGGAAAAATTGACCAGTGACTTAAAAACAAGTTCCTCTTGAAAAAAAAAAAACCAATGTATTTTTTGATGTTGATTTTTAAAGAAACATTGACAATGAAAAGTATCATGAAGAATCTGGAATTTCTCACAGAATGGAAAATCTGGTCTCATCCCTACTCTTTTACCATCCTGATCTGTTCTTCCTCGCTCTGTTGGGTAGGATTAAATGTATGATGAGAGCCTGGTGAGATTTCAGCCTCTGCACAGAGCTGCTGATCTTTTTTGATTATCAAAGCAAGGAGAAATGTCATGCTAAAGAAATGATTGGAGACTACTGATCGGATGATTTCACTTCCAGTGAGCCAGAGATCTGAACTCTCCATCAGTGGCACCAGCACTGCAAGATCACAGATCAGAGACGCTCCTGGGCTTCACTTGGCATGGGAGGAGATGGGGAGGGACAGGGATCCAGAGCCCAGCTCCACAAGGAATATTTTTAGCTCTGCTGATCAAATGGCCTGCAGAGGACAATGAGCAGCCAGAGCCTGGAGTAGTTTCCCACTCCCTTAAGCTCAGCTCAATCCTGTGGCACTTGAGCAGCAGCGTCACTCCCACTGCCATTCTTCCCAAGCCCATCCTGATTCCTGCAGCTCAGTGATGGCTTCATTACCAACAGACAGACATTACCCACTGAAAATCTGAGAGGAAGCAATTTTAAACAATTCCCTGCAGTTTCATTCCCCCAGTCAAAGCCCACTTTGCTCCCTTGTCCCTTAAACTCTTCAATTATCAGCACAAGAATTGTGCTCATTTCTAACTGGGGCTTCCCTAAGTCCAGGCCAGTTCCATACTGGAATATTTGCAGGTGGGTTTAACTGTTTCCACTCAGCATCTGGCAGAAAACTCTTTCTGCTGTGCTCTGAGCAACACCGAGAGGCACCCAGCCTGCAAAAGGGGTCCAGCTGCTGCCAGGATTGGTGGTACCATCCATTCACAAAACTTGCACGCGAGAATTTTATGTTAAAGATGTACAGATCTTGCTACATCAGAAAAATCCTGTTTCCAGCTGTCTCTGTGTCAGCGGGCAGGACAGGAGGCCATCCTGTCCATCAATCCCTCTCCAGGCCAGCCAGGCTGCCACTGAGCTCCAGCACACACAGCCTTCCTGTCCCTCAGTCTGACTGGGTTTGCTCTACAGCACTTAGGATTTATTTATTTTAAGACAGGGATAGACCTTTCTCTTCTGGTTCAAATGCATATTTCCTCAGAGAGAACACATGGATGCTCTCCTGAACCTTGCAGCCCACATGGAGAGCAAGAGCAGAAAATGAGATGAAAGTATAAGGCAAAAGTCACTTCAGTCTGACCCCTCAGTAAGAAAACACCACAGATTAAATGGCTGGAAAAGCAGCAGCATCCAGCAGGG